CAAGGAAAGCACTTATGAACCATCCTCACCACCAACTGCAGCACTACTTGGTTATTGTTTCGTGAATGAAATCTACCTCTGTGTTATTACCACATACGAGTTCTATGACTTCTCCTGGGGATGACAAACAATCATTCTCTTCTTATTCCTGGGTACTGCCGTACTTTTGCATGTAACATGAGTACCTTTTAGAAGATATTCCAGCTCTTGGTCTCAGGTAAATGAGCATCCAGCTTCTACAGGGGAGCCAAGTACTAACCGGAGAGCCTGTTCTATGAGTTACATGTGTCAGTCGTTCGTCATAGGACTGTCTTGTGACATATGATTCATACAGACATAGGTCGAGTCTTTCCAACTCGTTCTCTCGAGAGCAGAGTCCTGAAGTTGGAGTGTGAGATTTGACGGACCTTTTTGGACATGAGGTGAGTGAAATAATGTGAAGATCAGAAGATGAAAATTCATAGAAAACTTACATCTAATAGTTTCGTATTTATCTATAAGTTTTCATCTTCTAGATAACTACGAAATTTTTAGATGAAACTTTTCTCCAATGGCTGTACAATCACACTATCATCTATTTTGGGCGGAAACCGTCAATTGAAGTTATGTTGGGCACCTAGAATAGAAAAAAATGTTATATTATACATCCAGGATCGGTTCCAGTATATGTGAAGTGAGCTTGAGAGGGGAACTTTAATGCTCGTCGACAGACCACAAAGAAAATTGATCGTATTTCGGAAGGGAGTCAAGGGCATCAAAGTTATTCCGAGGTTCCCTGCTCTGTGTGGATGTAGCCGGCTCGTGCTGTTCGTAGACAAGTGAGCTGGGTCCTGTGTTGGCATTCCGGTTAGAATGGCATATACCAATTATTTCTTATATTCAGAAGGAATGAGGAAAAGGCAGCTCGACTGCAAAGAACTAGGTCGGAAAGGAGAGAGAGAGAGAGGGACTACAGCAAGAAAAAGTGGAAGTAGTTGCTTGAAAATCATAGGTTATGCTTGTAGATGACGTCATGACACAGATCATTAAAACTCCGGTCAAGACCGGATTTTAATTGGGAACCGCCCCTAAATTTCAGCTCGTGGGCATGTCTTTTTGTTCCTATAACAATACTCCTCGACTGGAACAGAGTGAGAGTCCATGAGTTTGACTCTGGACTCTGGAAAGTGCCTGTCTGATCGATGGAACTCGATATGAAAGGTAACGAAAGCACTTCTAAACCATCCTCACCACTGCATGAAATGATGTAACAGTGTCAAGGTTTGGGCGTCGTTTCATTCTTCAAAACCTTTAGATAGAGTTCAGATCTAGAAACGGTAGAGATCAATGCTTCATGTTATCATCGGCTGATTGATCAGGTGACCTCCGTGAGACTATGATTAATTTTCATATTTATGAATTTGTGGATCCATTCACTTACTACATAGATTGTCTAGATTGTCTTATTGTATCAATTCACAGAGGTTAGATATTTCACAGAGGTTAACGAACTGTTGGTTTGTCTGTCAGGCTGTTGATGAAACAGATAGATTGCTATGGCAATCTTACCAGGAGTGGCTGCCAAATGTCTAGGCTTGTGTTTCTGCTTCTGGCCCGATGTTGTCTGGACTAGCGTTTCGAAACTCTCATCCTGGCTCAGTCCGCACCATTAGGAATTGGTACGGAATGTCCTGAACGCTCTCCGAAAGCGCCCCGATGCGTGGGTCGACTTCATGATGAGGTACGTACGAGACACCTAACCGCACTCCCAAGACTCGAGTGCTGGAGAAAGCTGCGCATGTATGGGTACAGTCCTCTGTGGCGGAAAGGAATCAACAGCAAGGAAACATCTTCACCAGATGCTGGCTGAAGTTCACCAGGCAGACCTCAGTGTCGACGACGATGACGCCTCCACGGAACACCTTCCGATTCACTTTTGCCGACTGCGTAGGCTACTGCCCCATCCTCAAGTGGTTCGACCTGTCGCACGCATTCAGCGCGCTGGTGAACCGCCTGAGGCAGCCGCAGGCATTCGAGTCTCTACGCCAGTGAGTCAATTTTGGATCTGAATTATCACGGGTCTACATGGATGCAATGCTGATTGGGAGTTCCATCACACTTATCGTGAAATGAAAATACTCATAAACATCTTTACGGAAAAATTTTATGCTCACCTGAAAACTGCAAGTATTAGTGACTATACTATATATACTATGTTATACTATCCTCGTTGACAGACCACAAAGAAAATTGATCGTATTTCGGAAGGGAGTCAAGGGCATAAAAGTTATTCCGAGATTCCCTGCTCTGTGTGGATGTAGCCGGCTCGTGCTGTTCGTAGACAAGTGAGCCGGTCCCTGTGTTGGCATTCGGGTTAGAATGGCATATACAAATTATTTCTTACATTGAGAAGGAATGAGGAAAAGGCAGCTCGACTGCAAAGAACTCGGTCGGAAAGGAGAGAGAGAGAGAGGGACTACAGCAAGAAAAAGTGGAAGTAGTTGCTAGAAAATCATAGGTTATGCTTGTAGATGACGTCATGACAGATCATTAAAACTCCGGTCAAGACCGGATTTTAATTGGGAACCGCCCCTAAATTTCAGCTCGTGGGCATGTCTTTTTGTTCCTATAACAATACTCCTCGACTGGAACAGAGTGAGAGTCTTTGAGCGTGACTCTGGACTCTGGAAAGTGCCTGTCTGATCGATGGAACTCGATATGAAAGGTAACGAAAGCACTTCTAAACCATCCTCACCACTGCATGAAATGATGTAACAGTGTCAAGGTTTGGGCGTCGTTTCATTCTTCAAAACCTTTAGATAGAGTTCAGATCTAGAAACGGTAGAGATCAATGCTTCATGTTATCATCGGCTGATTGATCAGGTGACCTCCGTGAGACTATGATTAATTTTCATATTTATGAATTTGTGGATCCATTCACTTACTACATAGATTGTCTAGATTGTCTTATTGTATCAATTCACAGAGGTTAGATATTTCACAGAGGTTAACGAACTGTTGGTTTGTCTGTCAGGCTGTTGATGAAACAGATAGATTGCTATGGCAATCTTACCAGGAGTGGCTGCCAAATGTCTAGGCTTGTGTTTCTGCTTCTGGCCCGATGTTGTCTGGACTAGCGTTTCGAAACTCTCATCCTGGCTCAGTCCGCACCATTAGGAATTGGTACGGAATGTCCTGAACGCTCTCCGAAAGCGCCCCGATGCGTGGGTCGACTTCATGATGAGGTACGTACGAGACATCTGAGCGCGAATCTCTGACGAGCTCTCCGTGAAACCCCAAAGCATGTTCAATTTCCTTCCTTCGGGCCATAGACTCTTCTCTGCATTGAAATGCGAGGCTGCTTCGTTCTCTGCTGATCAAATTTGCTAGATTGAGATTCGTTTAGATGGAGGAGAATTTGTTTGCTGGTTTTGGGAAGTTCGGGATTTGTCGATGGATTGGGTCTGAGATGAATCGTCGGCTATCTCGAGTGCGAGGTCGATTAGAACGTGTCAGATTTTGCGTCGAGCCCTGAATCTGGAGCCGGAGCTGAGGGAGTGAGTGGGATGTGGGTGATGGCAGATTCGAGCTGGGGCTGGAGAAACCGGACCCCGGAAGGGCGTTGCAGAGCGCGCTGACGATCGCGGGGGCTTACATCGTGGGGGGCATCATCCCCCTGTTCCCGTACATAGTCATCCACCGCTATATGAACTTTTTAGAAATAGAGGAACCAGCATTCTGGCTGGACGAAAACCCTAACCGCACTCCCAAGACTCGATTGCTGGAGAAAGCTGCGCTTGTATGGGTACAGTCCTCTGTGGCGGAAAGGAATCAACAGCAAGGAAACATCTTCACCAGATGCTGGCTGAAGTTCACCAGGCAGACCTCAGTGTCGACGACGATGACGCCTCCACGGAACACCTTCCGATTCACTTTTGCCGACTGCGTGTAGGCTACTGCCCCATCCTCAAGTGGTTCGACCTGTCGCACGCATTCAGCGCGCTGGTGAACCGCCTGAGGCAGCCGCAGGCATTCGAGTCTCTACGCCAGTGAGTCAATTTTGGATCTGAATTATCACGGGTCTACATGGATACAATGCTGATTGGGAGTTCCATCACACTTATCGTGAAATGAAAATACTCATAAACATCTTTACGGAAAATATTTTATGCTCACCTAAAAACTTCAAGTATTAGTGACTATACTAGATATATTTGAATTAGAACATGTAAGTTAGAACTCATGAGTAGATGTCTATCTAAATATGAGAAACATGGCCTGAAAAACTCAAAGCCAGAACGTCTGCTCTTGGATATGATATTAGGGTCGCCACTTCCATCGTCAAAAGGAAAGTAATGGGAGACGTCAACATTGGACTATGATTGAGTACTGTTCCCAACGAAAGAGAGGTAGATGGTAGAAATTTAATTCGATTTCTCCTTCACTTTCTCGTCCAAAGCGTGGCAACGAACTTGCACTGCCAGGCTTTCCACCCTTGGAGGACACGGGTCTTACAGTCCCCGACAGATGAGTTTGCAGACGTCCCATCAGACACTTCACTCGAAATACCATCAGAAACTATCTCTACGAATAACATGGACAGTACAGAGGAATAACTCCTCACATGCGTTTACAATCGCTGTGAGATTTGTCTTGTTTATGTTATCCTTCCACGGTGACTTTCCACGTATAAATAAATCTTTCTGATAGTAGCGCATACTAAAGTACGCTATGTCTTCTGTCGAGACATGCATACGATCCTCCTGATTGAGCTTATTCTTCAAATATGAAGAATATATAGCAATATAATGTGTCCGAATATTCTTCAAATATAAAAAATGAAACCAGCACATGTGGACAAGGAAAGACCACAGGTAAACAAAGGGGCGGCTGAGAGGACTTCTTTCAGGTTAAGATTAGAAAATTTAGTCACTGTTGCTTCGTTTTCGAACGGGACTGCCTCAGTTTAAACAGATTCAGAATCTCTCCCGACGATTTGCACATCCTCACAGTGTACATTCAAACACATGATGCAGTGTTACCTGTCCAGACTGTTCCAGCTTCACCGTTGTGTTTCCATCGAGTACCTGTCACCGAGCAGCTTTCTAAGAGGCAATTCAGTTCTGATCATACTTTCGAACTCGGATGTATGTCGGTTGGTCGATTAGAATTTAAGGCATGATCGAAGAATGCGAATTGCAGGAAGGCCACGAGTGCGACAATGGGTGGCGTCGGAGCGCTAAAACTCCTTCCCTTCCTCGGGATTTCGCACATAATATGTATACTAGGGGTCTCTGTGCTTCTTGAGGTCAGTTCTGCTCAGCAGCTGCAGAACAACACGGTTAATGATGGGTGAGACACCCAAAACCTTTACAAGCTCTTATGATACTCTAGCTCAATTCCGCATGTATAATACTACGATCTCGGAGACTTGTCTCTGTCCAGACAAATTTTCATATTAAAACTTTCGAGTGTAGGTTGTAGATGTCTGAACGTGTATCTGAATGCGATGACGAGTGACGATTCTGAGAGGCAAACATGTCTACCTGAAACGAGCTTTTTCCTACGTGAGGGGAGCAAGTCTTTTTCTGACACAAGTTGTAATTTTCGAATTTGTCTTGCGTGAAACAAGTTTGGGACCAGCATGTTGGTACTGAAAGAGTAGCAGCGCGTGAATTTCTTTTGATTAATGTGCCAGTATTGACGTTTGTTATGAAAATTGTGGGGACTGCAGACAAATCCTGCTGGACATCAAGCAGGAAATCGAGATGGATCCCCTGGCAGCGATCGAGGACTGGAATAATAAAGAAATTTCTCAATTTTGCTCTTGGTCGGGCGTCAGCTGCGATGCCAGCCTCCAGCGAGTGGTTTCTCTCAACATGTCCGGATTCGGCTTGGTAGGGAACATTTCATCTTCGATAGGAAGTCTGCAGCTGCTCTCTATCTTGGACCTGAGCAACAACTCTTTCTTCGGAGTTATACCTTCAGAGATTGATCAGTTGAAGCAGCTCACCACTCTTCACATTGTAGGCAACCCGGGCCTCAATGGGTCCATTCCAGCCAGTATCGGCTCTTGCTCGGAGCTCCGTGACTTACAAATCGGTGGGAGCAACATTTCAGGAAGTATTCCTTCCACTCTAGGCGAGTGCCGCAAGCTCGAAACCTTGCAGCTCTTCTCCAACCCCACTCTGGGAGGCAATTTCCCACCAGGAATCTTCGGCAACCTCACCAACTTGAATCTGCTGAACCTCTCGAACAACAACTTGAGCGGAGCCATTCCCAGTGACATCGGCAGCCTAAAACAGCTGAAATTCCTCGACGTCAAGAAGAATTTGCTTACTGGCCCGATTCCTCCAGAGCTTTGTGATCTGCCCTTGCTTCAGGTTCTCAACCTCAGCAGCAACCTCCTGTCCGGCCCAATTCCTCAAGATGTGGGCCGGCTGGTGTCGCTGACGAGCTTCTCACTGAACGATAACTCTCTTACTGGGAACATACCAGCCAGCTTGACCAATCTATCGGCTTTGAAGACAATAAATCTCAGTAATAATAAGCTGTCGGGAGAAATCCCTTGGGACATCTTGAGCCAGCTTCGTCAGCTGGAAACGATCTTGTTATCCCTGAACTCGTTCATTGGCACGTTTCCTCAGAGGGTCAAGTCTGGAGATTTTTCCAGCGTGCAGGTGCTCAAGTTGGACTTCAACTTCTTGAATGGCTCCATTCCTGAATCATTCTGCTCGATGTTTCCGAACATCAGAGTGTTTTGGCCCGAGTGGAACAGACTGAGCGGGAAAATTCCATCGTCCATCGGAAGATGCTCCAAGCTCTTGGACATCCGCTTCTCGAATAACAGCATCTCAGGGCCGCTGCCCTCGAGCTTTGGCAACTGCTCGTCGCTCGAGAGGCTCGAAGGATGGGGCAACAAAGTCTCAGGTCCGCTGCCGCGCGAATTGGGCTCTCTGCAAAACCTGACCTACCTCAATTTCGACGTGAACAAGTTGTCGGGATCCGTCCCCGACGAGTTCTCTCGATTGAAGAGCATGGTTCATCTGAGCTTCGCCCTGAACACTCTCAGCGGTCCTATCCCCGAGTTCCTGGGCACATTCACGAACATGATATGGTTGAATTTCGGAAGCAACTTCCTCTCGGGAACCATCCCGTCGAGCTTGTTCCATCCGGGCATGTCGCTGGTAGAGGTCCACTTCGACACGAACCTGCTGGTCGGCCCGATTCCTGACTCGGTGGGCCAAGCATCGAGTCTGCAGCAGCTTTGGCTGCACAACAACAAGCTCAATGGCAGCATTCCGTCGACCATGGGATCTCTGGTGAACCTGACCACGCTGTACCTGCGGAACAACTCTTTCACAGGGTCCATTCCTGCGAGCATGGGCCAGCTCGCAAGCTTGACGAGCTTCGACACCTCGCAGAATAATTTCACCGGCGGCGTGCCGGAGTTCCTGAGAAACTTGTCCAATCTGCAGGGCTTGTGGATGTCGAACAACTCTGTGACAGGAACGATCCCGTCCTGGATCGGCTCGCTCAGATTCTTGGAGTCTTTGAGCCTGGCCTTCAACTCGCTGCAGGGCCCCATACCTCCCGAGATTGGCAATCTGACGACCTTGGAGTACCTGGCTCTCAACGACAACGAGCTGAGTGGCCCAATCCCTGACTCTCTGAGCAACCTGTGGCGCATCCAGTTCTTCAATTTGGCCGGGAACGATCTGAGCGGCGAGATCACCGTGGACTTCAGCAACTTCTCCTCGACACCCAACACCTTCATCCTTCTGAACAAGAATAATTTCACAGGGCCCTTTCCCAAATCGCTGCAGAATGTGTCGCTGCAGCTGCTGGATCTGAGCAACAACGGGTTCACTGGAGTTCTGCCCGACGTGCCGGGCATGGCGCCGACGCCCTTGAGAGTGCTGCTCATCCGAGGGAACGACTTGAGCGGAGAGATTCCATCGTGGGTGTGGCGCCTCGACAAATTGCAGCTGCTGGACCTGTCCGGGAATCGGTTCACGGGCTCGCTGCCTCGAGCGATCGGCGATCTGGAGGGCATGAAAACCGCACACAACGACAACAATCGCACTCTCAACAAGTTCGGCCCTTCCGATGGCTATGACGGCCGCTTGTTCACTCACTACGAGTGGAACTTCTATTTCAAGAATGGCTTCTCCACCTACAGCTCCGTCATCGCCTCGTACACCAACTTGGACTTCTCGAACAACAACCTCCATGGCCCGATTCCCGACCGGCTTTACGAGCTGGAAGGATTACGATTCCTGAATCTGTCGTACAACTCCTTCAGCGGGCCCATTGCGTCTGACATCGGAGGTCTGCGCTTTCTCGATCAACTGGACTACTCACATAACCAACTCAGTGGCGACATTCCCAGCTCGTTCACATCGGCGGGGTTTCTGGGAATTCTGAACCTATCGTACAATAATCTGTCAGGAGCGATCCCCGAGTCGATGACCAAGTTTCCCAACTCGTCGTTCGTGGGAAATGCAGACCTCTGTGGGCCTCCTCTGACCACCGTGTGTGCAGGCGATGCAACATCGATGTTCCCTCGAGATTCTGCAGAGCGCTATAGCATCTGGAGAGATATGTTGTCCCTGGATGGGTACATATCATTCCTTGTCGGAGCTCTGATTGGTTTCTGGGGACTGCTCGCTGCCATTGTTCTGCACCCTGGATTTCGCTCCTACGTCTTCGAAACATCATCCCCTCCGATTGTTGTGCTGCCTGAAACCGATCAGGATCTCGGCAGGTCTAAAGATCGGCAATGGAACCGGTATTTTCTTACGACGCATTAGAGGTTCTGTACAAATTCGGATGCTTTAAGTAGTTCGCGGTGTATGAATCCGCAGCTTCAACTTTTAGCACTGGAGGTTTTGAGGTCCTAAAATTACCGATAATAATCATAAATAGAACGATCTGGCTGGATCGAGATTCGGTTGCTGTAAATTCTTGATTTGATCCTCGGGATGAATCAGTGCTTATATTGAAAAGTGAAATGAATTTCACCCCTACATTTTCAACGAACGCATCACCGTGGTTGCAACTGGATTCAGTGTGGATACTTTTTACTCCCTCGTCTTGAGGATTTCTTCGTTAAAGAGGATTTCTCTCCTGTGTCGATCACTCGCACTTGCAGTCGACGATTTGCACGTCAATTATGAGCCAAGAGGATCGATTGTTTAAAGTCAGTTCAAAAAGAAGGTTACCTTAATAAAAATGGATCAACCTTGTGTACGCGATGGACAGCAATTTTAAGTCAACTCATGACGGATCGTTTAAATCAGATGTTCATCTCAGTATCGTCAATGCTGCTCTGCTGAAGACCATAGCATGCGGCGAGATTTATCTTTACACCAGAACTCCGAGTGATGTAATATCGACAAATTTGGCCGATATGGCTGAAACTGAAACCGTCACTGAACGCACATGGAGACAAGCGAGCGGGTCGACGAGTGAAGCGAAGTCTACCGTTTGGGATTGGACGTGAGACGAGAGATGGGTTCAGGTCACGTCGGAGAGATATGCTTGACCACAGAGCTTTTCGGAAGATGATGGATTTGCGTCCCGTGTCGAGAGTCAACTCGGATAATCCACACCCTCGCACAGCGTTTTGATACGCGTCCACGCATGGCACGGCCAGAGTCCAGAGTCCGGAGTGCAAGTGACGCCAGTCGGAGATGGCGATCGAGGTGTGGCTTATGGCACCCGCTGACTCTCGAGCAGAAGACTTTCTGCTCCAATAACTCGAGATCCATGCGCAGGGAATTTCCTTCGCGTGAAGTTGGAAGTAGCCGCGTTTGGAACAGGATGCGGAGTCCGAGGGCTACTTCTGGCACCACCATAGCCATGCTAGAGAAGAAGCCTGGGGGCCAGGGGCGCTGTCGTTGACTCATGAATCGCTGCAGATCCCACACTCGCTCCCACTCCCGTCACCAGCACGTGAGGCTCAGATTTTGCCGGCGGCAAGATACAAGCCCGTCTCTACTCAGAAAAAGTCAGCAGCTTATCCGCCGTCCCCTCTGCTGCCCTGCCCCGCCATAGCCCGGCCCACAAAATCATAGAGTACTACGAGCACTGGCGAATTGCTTTGCGATGCGAGCGCATGCTACCTGGCACGCGAGGCGGAACGGAGAAAGCGACAGAATCCTGTGCTTTACAGGATCGTCGTCCTCAGAGCTCGCCCTTTTCAGACTGTCTGATGAAGCGGGAATCAATCGTGAGAATCGACCGGTATACATTCATTCAGTCGGAGAATCGTGACGTCATGGATTTCTCTTGTGCATCTGCAATTGGAGAGAGTCCGTTCGTCATGCCAGTTTTGCTTGAGGGAATCGGGAGGCTGAGGCTCGGGAGAATCTAGTGCCCTCTCCTGAGATCCAGCGACAGTCGGTCGGTGGCACGAAGATGTGTCTGAAGACTGACAATTCCGAGGCACCAACAGCGGTGTCTACAGGGTGTGGGTGTGCCCATACTAATGCCACCGGGAGGTGTCGAACTGCGAAGATCCATGCCATAGACCGAAGAGTTCTCGGCATGGCTGCTGGCCTCTCAGAAGCATGCGGTTGCGGTTGCTGTTGCGCAAACTCATGGACTCGTGGATTTCTCCCCTTCTCCGGAGGCAGCACTAATTTCGTCACATCATGCACCGAGCCAGTGGGAGGAGAGTGTCCTTCGGTTGATGCAACTCCGGACAAGAACATCTTGCCCCGAAATTCTAGCCCATCGTGCACCACTGCCCGCCCGTCGCCCATGCGACCAGTTGGCCAGCCCTCTCCCTGTCAAGTTGACCTGTTTCCTATTCGGAACTGCACTATTCTCAGCTTCGTCGTCTCGAGCTCGAGGGATCGAGGAGGGAAGGTCGAGGAGGCTGTGGAGAAACGGATCCCCGGGACTCAAGCATTCATTCCGAGCTTCCATTCCAATTTCCTAGAGCTCCGGTCGGCCCCAGCTCATCGATCGAATTCTCAATTCTCGTTTGCCTCGGATTGCACCTCCACCACCTCGGACTTCGTGCTCCTCCTGGCCTCGGACGACCCTCACCATCACTGAGTACGATCGTCCTGAATTCTCGACACTCGTTCCGCGAGCGTCAATGAGCCCACCTGTTTACAGTCCTCCATTCGTGCCACATGCTCCAATCTCTGGCAGTAAGAAGGGCAGTCCAGATGTCGTGTTCATGATTGCGCTGATCGTTTGGGATACTCTGTTTCTGGCCAAGATCTACATCGTTCTGCACTACATTTTCACGAGGTTCACTCTGGGCCTACGCGTTCAAAGCAAATGGCTCTGCCTGCTGGGGTTTCTCTTCGCTTTCGGCGTGGGTCCCGTGATCGCTTTCACCTCCTTGACCACCAGCAGATCTGTGTTCCTGCTCGGAATTGCCAGTATTTGTTGCTTGATTTTCCCGCTGCTGCTTTTCCCGGTGCTGATCTTCTTCTGGAAAATGTGTAAGCACGTTCCGGGATAGAACAGGAACAATCGATTTCAATCTCACTTGGGGCTTCTTCAATCAGCTCATCCGCTTCAGCTTGATTTCTGCTGCTTGAATGCCCATGGACGACGAGACGGACTGGAGGTGCAGATCATCAATGTGATCAATCAGCCTCATTGCCTTCGTCTTTGTCGTCGGTGCTGGGATAGCATATCGATGTCTGCCTTCCTTCCTGCCTGCCTGCATCACGGGCGGCGCCATGGGACTGTGAAGTCCAGCTTTTCCATCAGAAGGCGGAGCAGCGATTGCCAATTGACAAGTTTCTCCAGCCGTGGTGATGAGAAGAAACGCAATTTTGCGACCTCCGGTGTGCTGGAGAAAGCGAGAAGTCTGTGATCCAACGACCTGCTGGTTAGCTCGATGCGAAGGTGCAACGAAGCTGACATTTCTGGAGGAGTTGCTGCTGACACTCTGCATCCTCGGCATGCCCTTCACATTTCCTCGGCTGCTCGCTTGCTGCTGCTGGCGGCTTATATCAAGCTGAGAACCTTGAGGCAGATTTTGGTTGACAACTTGTTTTCAACTCTCTTCTCTCGAAGACAATGATTGCACAATGTGACTCGGTCATGCAGAATGCAGAAAAGGTCGGCTCGCACATTAGCAGTCAACTCTTTATGCGTAAATAACTTTTCTTATCTTCTTGAATGTCTGATGTCACCGCCAGTGAACTTTAACATCATTCAGACCGCAGGACAGCGTCAGATTCTGAGCTCTCGTCAACTTTATTCGAGAGCTGCACCTCCTGCTGGTTTTAGCTTACAACTTACGTCACGATCGTTATTTATCAGGCAACATTCTCACTACTGGCTGCTCATTTTGCTTGCTACGCTAGAATTCATTGGGCCCTCGGACCATTTCTAGAAAAGATGTATGATGCTGGGTGACTCCAGAATCATTAATTTTGTTACTCATTATTGGTTTCAGATTGAGTGGGACCTTCAACAGATATGTCAACGACAGTGTCTCTGGCCACATCATAGGCCTGAAACAAATACTTTTTTTCCTACAGGACCTTTCTCTTCAGTATGCAGGTCCTTTTGATTTTACTTCTGTCACCGAATTGATGAAGCAAAGAACTCTTGAATCGATCATTCTTGTCTGGGTCGACTGGATTTGAGTCTGTGCAAAATTTAATCCCTTCTTGTATGTGTTTTGTTGAGGAGAGGACCACGTTGTATACAAATTTCTCACCACTGAGTTCAAAGACTACTTTTTCATTTCATGATTCAACGAATGTACATTAGATTCCAAGGTTTGCTGCCTCCTCAATCGAATGGTACTTTTCTTCATTTCTTGCTAACTGTAAATTAACTCTCCGTGTAGAGTACAACCTCGATATGTTCTCACCGTGTCACAAGATGAAGGAGATTTTCACGAGGTCGAACAGAGTAATTTCACTGCTCTATGAAAACTACGTATTGGTGTGGGGAGCCGGGAGAACTGAACTCAAGGGGAGGGTATGGAAAGCAAGGTCATATCCTTATGCTAGAACGAGAGTCTACATGCCATCTCCTGTTGAAAAAGTTTACAAATGGGGATGATGATTAACGTCACCATGGGATCAAGGAGATGGCAACAAATTTTCACCTTGGAAAAGAAAGTAGATTTGTTGAAGCATGAAAAGGTTGTGAATGAAAGGCGCTCACCAACAGAAGAAAGCACAACCCAATTACTAGTAATAGCATTTTGTTAAGATCCATAGGTTTATGTAAAGTCCATATTAAATGTATCAAAAATATTTTATGTTCGATTTGAAAAAACATATTGTAAAAGTCGGAAATTATCTTGTTTTTTTACCAGTAACTCTAACTAGACCTCTATATTTTTAAGTTATGTCAGTGGAACCAAATTCAAACAAAGAGTATTGTATATTCACGCTTTATGGTAGGCTAAATAAAGGGCTGCAATGGATGAAAAGTTCTAATTCTTGCTCTCTCTATCCGTTTACCACCCAAAGCATATTTCGAAGCCACTAAAGTACAACATATGTAAAAGATTCCTTAGAGAAGTAAAGCACGTGCAACTTTGCATGTTTTGAGCCTGTGGGGCCATGAATTCTTGAAAGTGCAATTGCAAGCTTCTTGGAATGCGGCGATTTAAACCTCTTTCTCTTGCTATATTCTCGCTATGATATTGTGTCAAGAAGAGTCTTTACTAAATGGTATAGTTAACTACGACAAAAAAACAAACTTGATAATGGATTAAGTTCACAATGATAAAAGAGGTCAAATCATAGATATGTGACTTCTTATATGCTGAAAATTTCAAATCTCCTCATGTATTCAGATCTAAAGCACATACTAAAATTTAACTAAAATTTTTTAAATAAAAGAAAATAGTAGATAATCATTATTTGAGCAGATAACCACAACAAATATTTCATCCGATGAATTTTCAGAAAAGATGATAAAATTTTACGTCAAGTTGTATGTTAAAGCAATCAACAACACAGCAATGATATAACGATTTTAGTGAAACAAGTTCTTGATAAGATAATATTTTTTTTAATCACAATATCAGAACAAAAATTTGTGATAAAAAAATTATTGCAGCAAGCATGATCAGAAGAATTTCACACAAAATATCATTCCATAGTATAGAATTCCAAAGGTACCACTCTAGAAAAGACCTAACCATTTTTAAGGTTCAAATTAGGATTTTTTCTTCATTCAAAACTGAAAGATGTATTATAGATTTGAGTCTATAGAGAAGGAACTCACCTCAACCCCAAGACTGTCAAAAAAAAACTAAGAAAGAACAGATAATAGCCAAACCAAATACAAATGATTTCAAGTAATTTAATAATAATACTAATGAATTTCATAGATAAATAATATCAAATCAAAAATATTTCTGTGCTAAATAAATATATATAGAAATAAATAAAAAAAAGAAGATTACTTCATTAGTGTAAAGTACTTTTCTTTTAGAACATGTCATTAATGGATTTTGTAACTTCCTATGATTGTATACTAAAACTCAGATACGTTTGAAATTAGATTAGGTTGTAAATGGGCATGTAAAAGGTACAATTATGTAAAAGCAAACTCCGTGTAGAAGGAAACTCTCCAAATTTATGACCAACCATTTCTTCAGTAATCTTTGCAAATAAAAAAAATAAAATTCAATATGAAATTAGACATAAGGGTCTGGCTCATAATCCTGTTGCCTGGGTTTGGTTCGAGCAACAGACGCAGGCCACCCTTAGAAATATAGCCCAGTTCCGTAACATTCCTGGAGGAGCCTTACGATGGGAAACTAGCACGTACGGTTCGGTATTAATAAAAAGCAGGGGGCGGTGGCTGAGGAGAAGGTCGCATTTCCCGCCGGCGACATGATGGCTGGGCCGAGGCCATAGCCAGACTGAGTGCAATACCTCCAGATATTTTAAGCCTTCATGATAGAAACTTTACTGGTGTGATAATCCGTTTTTTCTATATCAAAAGAGTATTTTGAAGAGGAGTTGCAACTGTTCGTCCCAGGATCCACTTGGAAGAAAATTTCATACAGTTTTGTGCCATTTTATTTCATATCAATTCATTTCATTCAACAAAATTCATCATAAATCTACAACCGAGACCCTGGGATCGGATATGTCTCCAGTTATCTGCATTTAGCGTGTGCATGACTCAGATGATATTGGCAAGGACGGACAGAGTAGTACAGTTCCTATCTCCTTCTAAAACAAGGAGTTTTATGAGAAAACAGCTCGATCACGTATCTTCTGGAAGCCGTCCAGCCCACACTTCCAAGCATGTGCCTAGCATGCGGCTCCTCAGACGACAGCAGTCTTCTAGTCAAGTGTTTGCAACTGTCGCCTTTTCTGTATGGACGTAGTCTTCATGTGAACCGGTCGAGTCTTCCCGTCTACGTGACCTACATGACCCAGATGTCTGGGACAAGTAACAAGGAGTTTCGCAACTGCTCGGAACAAGATTGCCTCAGCCGCATGTATGGCATATAAGCAAATAATCTCCGGGTCTCAATATGCCTAGATGGAAAATTCAGACCGAAATTAAATAGTTTTGCACCAATTTCTCTTTAGTCAGGTTGGCTTCTTCGTGCAGCATGAGTCGTATATCGAGCATTCGTTGTGATAGTTCAAGTTTTGCATCGAAGAGCTGCTCTGACTCACTCTCGAAAAATGTCACCAAATGCTTTGCAAGGACCTGGTGCGAAGGGGCAGTATGCTGGACTTTAGTTCTAAATTGTTAGAGAAGGTGATATCGTTTTTTCTTCTGCAGGCAATAATGCTATTCTATCTTCACAAGTTTGCAGTTTGTGATCTCAGAATGCTCTACCGTGACACGATGTGTACTCCGCAGTCAGAGAGGCGTAACGGGTGGATCCAACTCGCTTACGATGTTCGTCAACTTCATTTGGGTGGAGGGAGCCGGAAATTGCAAAATCACTGCGGAGTAGAATAAATGGACATTAAAGAGTAGACGGTTCAGACACGTACTTTGTCTCCCAAGGTGCGGTTTTACAACATCTCGTTTATTCAGAATTTTTAAGATCTGAAATATGTGCTGGTAGTGTTTTGAGTGTCGGATCATGGGATAGATCGCATAGACGTTTG